TCATTAATGCTAGGGCGAGAGTAAACAAGAGGGGAGAGCGTAAGAGAGAGAGAAAGATGAGAGACATCGAATGAGAGAGAAAGAGAGAAGTATCGATAAATTACCTTTTAAACTAACTATGATCAAAAATCCGGCATCCTTGGCACCAAAAATTAAAAAACCGCAAAAAAGGAACCCATGCACAGCGAATCTCTCTCTCTCTCTCTCTCTCTCTCTCTCTCTCTCTCTTTCTACCTTTCTTTCTCTTTTTCTCTCCCTCTTTCTCATTGAGGGGGCGTGGGGGAATCTCATTTGCTCTTTATGCCAAATTCGCGTCCAAAAAAGGCCTGAGAAAAAGGGGCACGGAATGAAAATGGAGGGCTTAGTTCGGGGTTACATTTCTGTAACATGGCGTCGTGTCTCATGAAAAAAATAGACAGCGGATTACTATGAGGAATTGAAAAAAGTGGAAATCGGAATGGGAAGCCATAAAATTTGGAAGTTGGGCGATTTTTGCAAACCGTTAAAGTGTATAAACACAACCAACACCAAGCCCAAGCCTAAGCTAAGCATAAGCTGAAACCTAAGCTTAAGCGTCAGCCCATACAGAAAAGATAATTTGAGGTCCGTCAAGTTCCGAAAAACTCAAAGCTTGACGCCAGGTGAAAACGTAAAACCAAAAGCAAAAAACAAGTTTTTGGTGAAAATCTACTTTGACCGAAACCGGGAACTTCTCTAATTAGAATCCCAGACAATTGTAGCTAGTGCGGGCGTGGGATAAAAAAATATTTGGCAATTTTTCGAGCCTAAAAGTCCGCGCCAAAAGCAGAAGCTGAAAATCCGGAGGTAAACTGGTTGAAATTGGTCGCAAATTGCCGAGCGGTTTCTCCCTCTCTTTCTCGCTCTATCTCTCTCTCTCTCTCTTTCGCTCTCTCTCTCTCTCTCTCTCTCGCTGTCTCTCTCCCTCAGCTCAGGGCCAATTTGGCTAGAAAAGTGCTTCCGGCCTAATGGGGTTCCAGGACCCTCAAGATTTTTGACGCGAGATTTGGCGGGTCGAACGTTGGAGCATGGCGGAACTTTTCTGTAGTTTCTAGAGTTGAGGAAAACTAGCAGAGAACCATTGAGAAAAGAAAGAAGGTGTTAGCTAGCAGAAGCCTTTTAGGAGGGAGAGCAAGCGAAGAGCCTTTAGGAGTCGAAATTCAACAAAGCAGGCGGCTAGCAGCGATGCTCGGGAAACCGAAATTTCCTTAGCAGAGATTCTTTGGGGAAGCAAAAGAGGATATTGGGCAGCAGAAATTTTTTAACGGAAGAGGATAGCATAAATGGAAGCTAGCAGGCATCCTTTCGGATGTCAAAACTAGCACGGCAGGCTAGCAGAGAAAACTTGGGGAAAATGAAAGGGTCTGCCAGCAGAAACCCCTTGGCGAACCCAAAATCAACAGGGCAAGATAGCAGAGATTCTTTTGGAATCGAAAACACGCAGCTGTCTAGCAGGGGAACATTCGAAACAACATATCTACCAGTTGAAACCTTCAAATGAGGGCAAACCAGCAGAGATACTTGAGGGAAGGAACAAGGTTTTGATATTGGAATTTCTATCTATATAGGGCGCCTTGAGGAGTTCAGACTTTTAGTAATAATTCAAAAAAAAACTTGCAAAAAGTTAGAAGTGCCATTAGCAAGCGTTAACAACCAAACGCGATAAATGTTCCTTTGCGATGCGCTGATGGTTTGGAGACAGATAGCTGGTAGGAGGTGGTGAAAGGCGAAAGGCAAAGCAAAAGTGATGGAATCGGTCATGGACTGTAAGTCGGGGGTTGGAGTGGGAGAGTGAGAGAGTGAGATAGTAGAGAAAGTGAGTCCCGGCCTTCACCCTATCCTCCAATAGATCTCAAAACTCACCCCCCCCCCCCTGGGGGCGCGGAAAACCGTTTACGGAACTTGTTGGTGTTGGGGAAATTGAAGGGGTGGAGGAAGCTGAAGCTAGTGATCAAGGACTTTTTGTAATGTTGGTCGTTTGAATGGGGTTTTGTTCTTAAAGGTTTTTGAGAGGTTTTTTCACTCTTTTGTTAACTTTCTCTCTCTCTCTCGTTCTCTCGCTCTCTGGCTCCTCTCTCACCTACTCTCTCTTCTCTCTATCTCTAGCACTGTCGCTCTCTATAGCTCTGTCTCTCTCACTATTACTCTCGCTCGCTCTCGCTCGCTCTCTCTCTCTCTCTCTCTCCTTTTTTTTCGCTCTCTCTGCCTTGTTATCTCGTGATCAACGCATAGCATCAGCTTTATTTACATCATCAATGCTTTATTAGTTCTCGATTGTGGGTGGTGGTGGTAGCCACTATCTAGAAATAGCGAGCTCCACGGGCGACGGCCTCGGGGCCCTGGCTGGGGCGAGTTCCGTGGGTGGGCTCGGTTCCGAAGCACTCATGCAGATCGAAGCACGTCTGCCACGGGTCCTTTCCTGAAGAGAAAATATTAGAATACGTCGAGAGAGAGCGAGAGAGAGCGAGAGAGTGAGAGAGAGAGAGAGAGAGAGAGAGAGAGAGAGAGAGAGAGAGTGAAACGTACCAGCGGTCAGATCAGCGTAGATGGTGTCAATCTGGGCGGCAACCATGGCCTTGCACTGGGTGACGGCATCCTGGCCCTCGTAGCGGCCGAGCTCGTTGCACTCCTATAAAACGTGGTACATGGTAGATGACCAGGGAATTGAAAGAGTACTTAGCGATCTCAATGTATGAAGGCCAACAAGGTTAAGTAAAAGTTAGTTCTAATAGGTATCAGTTAATCTGATAAGTCATACCTGGGTGAGCTGGGTTAGAAGGGCTCCCTTGTCGTTGATGTTGTTGTGGAAGTGGTGGACGGCCTGGGCAATCAGGTAGTCGCAGATCTGGCACGGGCCAGGGGTCGGCCGTTGCTGAAAATCGGGTGGTAAGGAATGTTTCAAAAAAAACTAATACACATATTGCGTCAGCACAGGTTCTTACAAAAACCAAATTTTGTAGATTTAATCCAATTATGTCTAAAGTTACGGTAGCCAAGAAACGCTTGGTCCCGCGGATACGGTATTAAAATTGAACAAAATATCAGAAGTCTGATAAAAAACCATGACATTCCGCCTTAAAGGGGCTGTGAAGGCAAAAGATCAGTGACGATAGCCAGCTTTTTGCAAAAAACTAAGTACTTTGGGCGTCTGGCGACGCCCCCCCTCAGGCTATTTTCGGACGGCACTATTATTTTATGGATATGCTAGTCCCAAATTTTATAGTATCCATAGATTACGGTCTCTTTAAAGGTGTCTACAAGGCTTAATATAAGTTCATAGGTATCCTGGACCTTAAAAAATCCATAAAAACCGTATAGTTGTGTTCATGTTTTTTATAGGTACTTACAAGACTTAATAAAAGTCGATAGGTATCCTGATCTTAAACATATCGAAAAGTCCTATAGATGAGTTTCATATCCCTTTAGACATATCAAAGAGGTTGAAAGAATTTTTTTCTATCACAAAAATCCTCAAAAATCTCCTGAAAACTCACGGCCAGGGCAACAACAACGACGGCGGCGAGGGCAAGGACGAATTTCATCTTTGCTGTGTTTTTGGGGTATTCCGAATTTTCAGCCGTAAAATTCTGCTTATATACACTGATTGTAGCCCTCGATGTTTCTCGACGTGCTATCAGAGTCGTGGGAAATGGCAAAGCTGTCGGCTGATGGCGAGAGAGCGGGAAAATGCGAGAGAGCCAGAGATAAGGAGTCCCGGATCTGGGCTTAACGGGATTAGTGACGGCCAGCCAGAGCAGAAGCCTGAACTGTATCAAACGTGTGGACAACAAAATGGAAAAGTGATACGCGGGGCGTGTGGTTTGTTAGGTCATTTTGGACAGGGGTCAAGACATCAAAGGAATTATGGAGGATGCGGAGGTTGAAGCTTAGCCGTAGTTTTAGGTCTGGCTTAGGCGTAGGCTTCGGCTTAAGTCTACGCTTAGGCTTAAGCTTCAGCTTAGGCTTGGCCTTAGGCTAGGCTTGGCAAGGAATCCGCCAGCGGCTCGACGTTCGACTTTGGTTAGTGAGGTAGTTCGTCTGATGCAGTTTTTACGCTGATTCCGAATACGCAGCTGATTTTTGCTAAGGCCCGTTAGTTTTCGAGTTTTGCTCGTTATTACGGTAAAAACTAACAGTCTGCGACCAAAAATGGACCGCTGAGCTTCGAAAGCCACCAAATCCTTAAAGCTGAACAATGCTGTACAATACTTTGGGCCAACCGCCGGGAAAGTTTCTTAAAAAATAAAAATAACGCTTTATGACGCAACGACAACAACGAACGAACGATTAAAATTTGATTTTCTCGGATCGGATTCCCCATGGTTTTTCACCCCGGCCCGGTAAATTGCTTTGCATTCAGAAAACAGTTTATATCTTTAAAATTAAAAGGCCAAGGCAAAAATGAGCTGCATATTCGGGATCAGCGTAAAAAACTGCATTAGCTGGATTATCTCACAAAGCAAAGCTGAACTTCGAACTGGTAAGTCCGCTTCCCTGTTAGTTTCCATTTTTAAGGGGTTTCGAAGTCGCCAACTTCCAAGCCCGCTAAAATGCGGCTCAGAGAGAAGATTAGTCCAAGAATCACGTGGACGAGGGTGCATCCCCGATGGACATACCCTGGGACCGTCCATCAACTCTGAACGATATCGTCATCGCCGCGGGCAGGGGTCGAACCAGGGCCTTTCGCGTGGCAGCCCGAGTTCTTAACAATACACCACCGCCACTCGGGGCCCAAAGAACACCCTTGGAGGTCAATAAGAGCGGGTTCGCGCAGGTGTGAGGAGATTCCAGTGAGAGAGTGCTGCATTAATGGCGTTATTCCGGTATGGGTTGGATAGGATCACCAAAATTTCTTAATTTTAATCTGCCCTGGTCGGATTGATTTTGACACGCTAAACAGAGTTGAGGTAAATGTTGATAATATAACCCGGTGCAAAAATTTAAGCATTTATTTACATTCCCAGATCAAATTCGATATTCTAGTGGCGCTGCTTCATCTGCCTGGGGGCCTGAGGAGTTGAGGCGGGAATCGGGCGGGTTCCGCCGGTGTGAGGCTGGCACTCGCCGATGTCTTCGCATGTCTGCCAGATACGGTCACCGGCCTGGAGGTCGGCGAAGATCTTGTCGATCTGGAAGATGGAGGATGAGCACGTTTAGGCTTGGGTTCGGCTTAGCAGGTTTAGGTTTTAGGCTTAGGAACGCCTAAGCCTAGACTTCGCTTAGGCTTAGGCCTAGGTTAGGCTTCATCGCGGCTTAGCGTAGGCTTAACATGGGCCTCGCATGAGTTTAACTCAGGCTTGGCTTAGGCTTAGATTTTGCCTAGGTATCTGATTGAGCATGAGTTTCTTACCTGCTTGTTAACAACATCAGTGCAGTGAGCAGCAGCCTGCTGTCCCTCCCGGCGACCAAGCCATTGGCACTCGACGAGCAGCTCCTGCTTCAGCGCCGTCTTGTCGGTGATGTTGTTGTGGAAGTGGTGCTCGGCTTGGCGGATGATGAAGTCGCAGTCGTGGCACGGGTCGTGGCCGCGTTGCTGAAACTTTGGAGTAAGGCTCTGCTTGTTTTAGGCTGAGGCTTAGGCTTAAGCTCGGGCTTAGGTTTATTAGGCTTGGGTTAGACTTGGGCTTGGGCTTAGCTTAAGCTTAAAGCACTCAACTTACGGCAATGACAACGACGGCGGCGAAAGCGACGAGCAGCAGGTACTTCAGCATTTTTAGTGTTTTGATTGTTGGGGGTGCGACAGCAGCGTCTCTCCCTTCACTTGTTGAGCTTATAAACCGTTCCCCGAGATTCGAATCTTATCAATTTCCAACGTCAACGTTAATCCCCCCCCTCCAGAAGCGTCTTTGTCCTCTAGGTGTGGCCGCGTACAGATTGGATCCGGGTCGGATCAAAAAGTGGGAAGTTGCGAGCATTCGGGGACGTTTAGAGGAGAAAACGAGAGAGAGAGAGAGAGATTTTTACCACGTTGCTGCGAAAAAGATGATTTTTCGACCTGGAACTATCAAAGTAACAAGACTCAAATACCAGCCTGTGATCGGAAGTGTTTTGTAGTGTCCCGTACTTTTACAGTTAGGTGTAGTCTGTCGAAATATCGTGAAAAACGCGGCGAAAAAGGCCTCCTTCCGTGGAATTAAAAAACATAGAGCAATAAATATTAAAATTTATATGAACTCCTGCCAGTTAAATTCAACACATTTTGAAAGCGTCATCCTGCTCAGAATTCTCCGGTTCTTTGGCATTATCGGGGGGCGGGCATGGTGATTTATCCGGGGATCAGCTATTTTAAGGATTACTTTGTTCTGATTTAAATAGAGCAAGAGTTTTTGCGCATAAAAACTACAACTTTTCGCAAAAAATACAAAAAAGATGGATTTGCGGTGGAAAATGGCGATTTTCGATAACAATGTAGTTAAATTTTGTTAAAAACATTATTAACGCACCGCACATACTGTTAAGAAACTAAGCATTTGTTTACGTTCGCCGCCCCCAGCGATAATAGGAAAGAACCCAGTTTTCTTGTCATCAAATCTTGCCAAGATTCTATCCAATTGTCGAGTCCAGCCGGTCCAGCTCCCATGCCAAAGTTCAACTCCTGAGTCCCCCAGCGCCTGAGTTCGTGATTTCGTACCGGATATGCCACCCCCAACCATTAGCAGCTACCAATTAATCCGTTAATCCATCGTGTCCGGGTCTTTATCTCGACGGCATAGATCAGCCTCGCGTTTGCTCGTTTTTCCGCGCCGCCTGAATTTTTTTATCTGCCGTTATCGCCAGGTAGCGAATGGCCCGTGACGCGGCGGGTGCATGTGGGGCTACGGTATAAAAGCCACGGTTTAGAACGGGAGGCCAGCTCGGTCTCTCAGCCCAGTCCAACACTCTAAACATGCTCCGCTACATCTTCGCCGTCTCAGCCCTGGCTGTCATTGCCGTTTATGCGGTAAGTAAGATTTGGAAGTACAGAAAATCTGTAAGACGAAGCGAAGCGAAGCCTAAACCTTAGCCTAAGCTTAAGCCTAAGCCTAAGCGCAAGCCTAAGCCTAGCCAACAAGGAGTGCCCTTTTAGTGTCATCGGCAAAACCTTTTGCGACCTAGCTCATTCGATAGAGAATTGAATTCTGAACAAGCTCCCGTTGTTCGTTTTTGCGGAATGGCTGCCTCCGATTTTATAAAATTAAAAAAACTAAAAACAGCATTTTTGGGTCTCGATCCTCGCGCCACCCCAAAGATCACCCCCGGGGGAAGAGCCGCTCTGACCTCTCCCTACGACCAGTAAGCGTGGCGCAGTGGCTAACACCACGGCCTGCCGCACTTTTTTGCGATTCAGGCAAAAGTTCGAAAATCACATCAACAATTCTTTTTGCTTTTTGAATAAGGTTACGCTTGAAACCCCTTGTGGCCGCTTCATGTGTATTTTTGCGAAAAGCCGGCTTGCACCAACTAGATTCTTATTTAGCACATGGTTTTCAAAAACATAGGCTTTTTCACAAAGGACTGTTCGATTGTCTCTGCTTAAAATAAAATGGCGGTTGACCTATGAACCCAGCGCAATCAAAATTCAAAAAGCAAAAGAATTGTTGATTTGAGTTTCGAACTTTTGCCTGAGTCGCAAAAAAGTTTGGTTGGCCGTGGTGTTAGCCACTGCGCCACGCTTACTGGTGGTGGGGAATGGTCAGAGCGGCTCTTCCCCCGGGGGTGATCTTTGGGGTGGCGCGAGCATCAAGGCCCAAAAATGCTCTTTTTAGTTTTTTAAATTTATAAAATCGGAGGCAGCCCTTCCGCAAAAACGAACAACGGGAGCTGGTTCAGAATTCAATTCTCTATCGAATGAGCTAGGTCGCAAAAGGTTTTGCCGATGACACTAAAAGGGCACTCCTTGTAAGCGATGGTATGCTAATCTACCTCTATATTTTCAGCAAAACACCCCGTCGCCATGCATGATGTGCGACTTCATCGTCAACCAGGCCCGCCACCACTTCCACAACAACATCACCGACAAGGCCGCCCTCCTCAAGGAGCTCCAACAGGTTAGATTAAGCTCCTTAACTTTTTATTTGAAGTCAACCAGATTTTAAAAGCTAATGCTACGAAGGTTACCTAAGTCACGATTTTCCGATTACGCAATATAATCCTTACATTCAGGACTGCAACTCCCTCCGCCGCTTCTACGGTGACCAGGCCGTCAAGAACTGCCAGGCCGGCGTGCAGGCCAACATTGACAAGATCTACACCGACCTGACCACCGGTGAGTTGTTGTGCCACGCGTGGTAGTAGTCGATCGGCCTTCTCAGAGAGTTGAGCTGCTTACGACACGAAATTCCTGGTTTTAGAGAAGTAGTGCTATTTTTCAGGTAGTTTAAATAGCTCTAAAAACCACTATTTTTTGGCATGTCTACCTTTAGATACCTTAACTACCTTTAAAATGGCTTGGGCACGGAGTTTATCTAATTACGATCTAAAAGTCGGATGTTCTTAATTAACAATACCCTTATATACCTTGATAGACCTACAAAACCCTGCTTTTCTGATAAAAAAAATTGGGATTTAGTAGATGAACTAATTGATTAGAACATTAAAAAGAACGATTTTGACAAGAATACAGTAGTTCTCGATCTAATACCATCCAGGAGATACCTTTAAATCCATATTCTCCAGGCAAGGACGCGTGGCAGACGTGCGCCGACGTCGGCGAGTGCATGGGAACCGAGCCCACCCACCCCAGCCACATGCCCAGCCACATGCCCGAGCAGGAGCAGCCGGTGCGCGGAGAGCGATATTTCTAAATGCACTCGCTTACTCCGGGTAGTAACGCCTGTAAATAAACGAATTCTATGATATAATGGTGTAACAGGCAAAGTATGATTTCAATTCAGATACATACAAAAATTCAAGAAGATGGAAAATGAGGTGGAAGGCTTAGGGCAGGCTTAGGCTCAGGCTTAGCGTTGGACTTGGTTTGCTCTTAGGCTTGGGCTTGGCTTGGACTTAGGCTAAGGCTTGGGTTCGGATTTAAGCTTTGGCTTAGGTTTAGTTTCAGGCGTAGACTTAGGCCCGCTTAAACTTAGACATAGGCTCAGGCTTGGGCTTAGGCTTGGGCCTGGGCTTGCGACTATGCTGAGGCTTAGGCTTATGATCAGGCTTGCTCTGCCTAAGTAGGACTTTAGCGACGTCAAGTTACCTCATCTTCCCTCAGAACGAGCTCGGTCTGAGCGTACACGCCATCAAATCTTTTGGCAACTCTCTCTCCCTCTCCCTCTCCCTCTCTCTCTCTCTCTCTCTCTCTCTCACTCTCACTCGCCCTCTCTCTCTGACGTCCCGCGCCCAGTGATAACCAGAAGTTTGTCTCTTGTCTCTGCCCTTCCACCTGGAGTCCACCTTGCTTCCCGAAAGCTGATTGTTTTCTTGATGAGCCCTATTTTTTGGCCATTTGTGCCATAGATAAGCCACGTCGTCGCCGAGTGGCTTGGCCGTAAATCAAGCTCCCAACTGCGTGGCCCCTCTCTCCAGCACTTTCGAGCTCAAACCGATAACGCTGATGTATGGGTGTGTTGCAGGCCAAGGGGGGGCGATTGGTGTAGTTTTGCATGGAGGGAAAGGTAGCTGGAGTCGAAGGCTAGGGCTAGAAAACTTTGGAAATTCATGAGAGCTAAGCCTAAGCCTAAGCTTAAGCCTAAGCCTAAGCCTAAGCTTAAGCCTAAGCCTGAGCCTAAGCCTATTTCTAAGCTTAAGCCAAATCCTAAGCGTAAGCCTAAGCCGAAGTCCAAGCCTAAGCCTAAGCCTAATCCAAGCCTAAGCCTAACCTCAGCCTCAGCCTAAGCGATTACGCAATCTAAAGACGGACGGCCGCGTTACGTTTCGAGTTGCGTGCGTGTGTCTGAAGCTTAAAAACTACGGTTTTCTACGTTTATAAAAAGTATCTCTTTATTACCATAGTAAAAAAAACCAATGAAAAACTGCATAGTACACTTTTTCATAAGAAAATATTTGGAAAGACATAAATAAGCCCGTATTGTCAATTTTAGAGCACCATGGAAGTATTGCATCCGGCGGGACGAATCGATTTTTCAGGGTTTTTTAGCAGGTCGGACTGGCTTGCGTGCACGCGTATTGTACGGGAGAGTACTAAAATATGCAATTTTTGAGAGCTGCTTTTCGAAAGCGTCTTGAACCAGGTCAGATGCCTAAGACATTTAAAAAAATCATAAACTTACAAAAGTCCCCATCTGGACGTCCGGCTCGAATTGCCAGATGCCGTCGGCACTGCATACGATATTGCCCTCCAGGGTTGTCATCTGGCAATCCTGGCCGAAAGCGAACCATTCACCACCCTAAAATTCACGATGAAGCCGAATCCTAAGCCTTAAGCCTAAGCTAAGACTAAGCTAGGTCTAAGCTAAGCCCAAGCCCAAGCCCAAGCCTAAGCCTTAGCTCAAGCGTAAGCTTAAGCCTAATCCAAGAAGGAACCTAAGCCTAAGCTAAGCCTAAGCCTAAGCGAAGCCTAAGCCTAAGCCCAAGCCCAAGCCCAAGCCTAAGCCCAAGCCTAAGCCTAGACCTAAGCCTAAGCCTAAAGCCCCGAATTACTTACAATATTCGCCTCCGCCAGCACGAATCCCTCGGCCGTGCACACCAGCTGCGCTTGTGAACACCCGTTGACGGTGCTGAAAAGGGAATTTCGCGATAGAGCTCTGATGAGGCTATCCATAAGCCGATAAAAACCTAAGCCCGGAATTACATACCTGTACGTAAATACACCAGTTCCCGGTATCGCACCCGGCAACTCGTCATCCGGCGTTATCATCAAGTCCTGCGCGCAAGAGGTGCAGCCCGCTAAAAAGGGTTGAGTTCGGATTAACAAACTATTTTTTTCTTACTTAATACTGTAGTAGTTGTGGTGGTTGTTGTGGTGGTTGTTGTTCTAAACTCATAATTTATCATATCCAAACCAATTTTATTGTTTTGTTTTCGGTTAACTGTGAAATCCTCGTAAACCTACGTAGTGGTGGTTGTTGTCGTAGTGGTCGTGGTGGTCGTTGTGGTGGTGGTTGTCCTAGAAAATGTAGGATGTTCCTAATAGCTGACGTTGTGAATTTTTGAACGATCAAATGCATACCGAATTTAAGCCACCCGGCGGCTCTTCGTTTTTCATTGAATGAACTGTTTTAATTGTTCAGATATGCTACACAACTTGGGAAAAGAAAATTAAGTGAAAACCAAACGGGGATAGCGACCTCTGCACGCAACACTTCAAAATAAGGGAAAAGCTGTAAAGGAAAACGATACGTAGTCGTTGTCGTTGTTGTTGTTGTTGTCGTCGTTGTTGTCGTCGTCGTGGTCGTTGTTGTTGTTGTAGTCGTGGTCGTTGTAGTCGTAGTCGTCGTCGTTGTAGTAGTTGTCGTCGTTGTAGTAGTTGTCGTCGTTGTAGTAGTTGTCGTCGTTGTCGTCGTAGTGGTCGTGGTCGTGGTCGTTGTCGTAGTTGTCCTAAAACAGGCCATCACTCGAATACACGCCTAAAACACTCCACTTCAACGCATTGCTGATTTTTCTAATCCACTTCACTTCTTCTACTCACACTACTACTTTATAACTATGCAAAACGTTACGTGGTTGTGGTGGTGGTGGTCGTCGTCGTAGTAGTGGTAGTCGTAGTGGTAGTCGTAGTAGTCGTGGTGGTAGTTGTTGTTCTGAAAGCGGCACGCTGATCTCCACACTGTGAAAGCTATGTGAGGGATTTTTAATCTATGATTATTGGCAACATTAGGTTTCTTAGCACACCGTCTTTGAGCTTTTTAGGTCTAACCATAGTTGAGTTTAAAAACGGAGTAAAACGGCACTCAAAAAGTTAGAAACTGAAAGAGTGTTACGTAGTAGTAGTAGTCGTGGTGGTCGTCGTAGTCGTAGTTGTAGTCGTTGTGGTGGTCGTGGTCGTTGTGGTGGTAGTAGTCGTTGTGGTAGTAGTAGTGGTTGTGGTCGTAGTCGTCGTAGTCGTCGTTGTGGTAGTGGTAGTAGTCGTCGTCCTAAATCCACGCTCACACGATGTTATATTCTAATCACTGGTTCTAAAACGGTTTACCACTCCAGCCAGTAAACCACACAAAAACTCTACGTTGTCGTTGTCGTCGTAGTCGTAGTAGTAGTCGTAGTTGTAGTTGTTGTCGTTGTTGTTGTTGTTGTAGTCGTCGTAGACGTAGTTGTAGTCGTTGTCGTGGTCGTCGTGGTGGTCGTAGTCGTAGTTGTAGTCGTTGTAGTCGTCGTAGTGGTCGTTGTTGTTGTCGTTGTCGTCGTTGTTGTCGTTGTAGTGGTAGTCGTAGTAGTAGTCGTTGTCGTCGTAGTTGTCGTACTCGTCGTAGTCCTAAACAAACCACGCACTTCCAAAAAAACATGCAAACTACGTGGTTGTTGTAGAGGTCGTCGTTGTGGTGCTTGTTGTCGTGGTCGTAGGAGACTTTGTGCTATAGAGGTTCTGTTAATGCCACACATACCACACTCGAAGTCACGACAAATTTAACGACAAAGGAATTTTTAGCCAAAAATCGTTAAAAACTTCTGAGTTTAAAGTAACATCACGGCACACTGACTATCAGCTACGACAAGCACTAATATAACAAAAAAAAATCAAACATTTGGCCCAACCAAAATGTATCAAAAAAAAAACTTAAAGCTATAGTTTGCTAATTTTAATTTTCTCCGACTAACGTTGGATTGTAAAATTGATAATACTGCTTTGTTCCGTCTTAAAATTAAGCTTAAAAATTCGAAGTTGAGAACTGTAACGTACGTGGTCGTGGTTGTAGTGGTCGCCGGAGTGGATCTGGAATAAAAACACGGTGGAGATTTCTAAGATTTTGCCTGTATACCAGATATCCCATATAAATGAATTCTGACTTAAATAAACTTCGAATGTAAGAATACCAATTTTAAAATTCAAATTAATTTCAGCACGATAGAAACTTACGAGGACTGCATGCGGAGACACGGGTCGACGACATGGAAGATGGCGATGGCCAGCAAAATTTGGAAGAGGAGCACATTCATCAGGAGTTCGGGCTGGAAAAGGATTTAGCTGGAAGAGAGAGGGCGGGAGTGAGAGGGATGAGAGAGCGAGATAGAGAGAGGGGTTGACAGGGAGAGAGAGAAAGAGATAATGACAGAGAGCGAGAGAGCGAGATAGAGAGAGGGATAGACAGGGAGAAGAGAGAGAGAGAGAGAGAGAGAGAGAGAGAGAGAGAGAGAGAGAGAGAGAGAGAGAGAGAGAGAGAGAGAGAGAGAGAGAGAGAGAGAGAGAGAGAGGAAGATCGAGAGAGTGAGAGAGAGCGAGAGAGAGAGAGAGAGAGAGAGAGAGAGAGAGAGAGAGAGAGAGAGAGAGAGAGAGCGAGAGAGAGCGAAAGAGAGAGCTAGATACGGGAAATCAGTCAGCGAGAGATAGCGAAAGATTTATCGAAATAGATCTAAAAATTTTGCGAAGTTGTATGTCACAGGAGTTCACAGTTCAAGAATAGACGCATTTAAGAGCTGTTATATTTACTAAAGCCAAAAATGCAAACTCTAGTCAAATCGTTGAAGTTCAAGCCAGAAAATTTAAAACTACAAAACGCACCTTGGCAAATAGAGAATGGCCGAAGTAGGCATTCGTTGGGGCGAACAATTTCGAGCCTGACCACAGCATTCAAGTCGGACAAGTCAAAAAGGGCTCTCAGCTGGTTCTCGAGAGACTGGAGAGACGATCGGTCAGCCGTCTTCAGCATAGACCAAATATAATTGGCCCAGTGGATGAAGGGTGGAGAAGAGGGGATGAGCACGAGCCATCCCAAACCCCCAAGGGGTAACCCTCGCTCGCGAAAACGGACTGTCCATTACGCGCCAATTGACGGGGGGAGGCTGAGCAGCAACATTACAAGGGTTATTACATGAAATGTGCATGATGAAAAAGGGTGTTCAAACTTGGGCTTGGGTTAGTTTTGCGCTGAAGCTAAGCTAAGCTTGTCACTAAGCCTAAACCTAAGCCAAAGCGTAAGTCGAAGCCCATGCCCAAGTCTATGCTTACGCCCAAGCCTAAGCTTAATCAAGCCTAAGCCACTAAAGGCCCAAGCCGAATTATAAGCCCAACCTTACGAAATTAGAAAAAACGGATTAGGAAAGGCCAAGCGTAGCGCAAATCGCGAAATCGGAAACTATAAGGCAGCCGGTTCCAGGCTTAGTCTCGGGAAGAACCCGATAAAAGTGGATTAGGAAGGAGGGCATAATGGGAGCCGCGCAAGTTCAGGGTGGAGTATGGCTAGGGCAGAACGGCGCGGTGCACGGGCGCGCTGATGGAGCCGGCCCTCCGGCCTTTATGGGGTGTAGAATTGGCAACAGCGTTGCCTTGCGGAATTTTCCGGATTCGGTTCGGAAAGGAGTGCAAGCATAAGAGCGAGAGAGAGAGGGACAGAGAGCGAGAGAGAGACAGAGAGAGACAGAGAGAGCGCGAGAGAGAGCCTTAAAGCGGAAAGAGTGCTTTAAATCATACTAAACGTGCAAACTTCAGCTTATTAAACCTTCTATACCGAGAAATGTCAAGTAACCTGTCCCTTTAACGTCGATGTTCGCGCTTTAAATTGCGAGAGCGACTGAATGGGGGGAAGGGCAAAAGAAAACGCGGGCGTACCTGCGTATGGAAACGGAGCAACGAAACAGCTCCGGAATTGCACGAATCTTACCGTAGCCTACAGTCTCTCTCTCTCTCTCTCTATCTCTCTCTCTCTCTCTCTTTCTCTTTTCTCACACGGCTAATATAAACCTTATGCTTATCAGCCCCCTTTAAAGGTATTGGCAAGGCCTTCGCGTTGGGTACCAGGGCAAAATCTATAGGCCATAGTTGCCCGTCCCTTTTTTTCCTCGCCGTTCTCGGCCAGACGCTCCACCGTCATCACGTAGCCAAGCGGAAATGCCGCCGGGGGGCAAAAGGCGAAAAGTCCTTGAGCAAGGGGGGAAGGGGGGGTGATACCAGTTCCTAATGAGGACTGCCGACACCCCCACGCTGCCATCGCAAGTTCCACATTGTGCCTATCCACACTCGGTGCACATCACACATTCCCACGCACCGGGATGCATCGATTACTCGGGGTATCGCTGTCATTGTTAATTTGTTGCGATTATGCAGCAGGGGTTCAAACGGTAGGTTCAAACAGTCATTTTTATGATTTTGATGATTTAAAGATTACCGCTTAAAGTGGCGAGAGCTAATTTAAAGCAAACACTTAGCTCTTCGACCGGATACGCCCGAATGCAAATATCCGGATTTTCGACACGCTTTCGGCGGCGGTAGAGGCGGCTTATGAGGGGAAAAGGAAGCAGAATGTGCGTATCATTTGAGAATTTACTCTCTCTCTGTCTCTCTCAGACACACTCTCTCTCGCCCTCTCGCTCTCTCTCTCTCTCTCTCTCTCTAGTCCTCGTTTAGGATTGGAGCGACAAGATTACGTTCGGGGAGAAGCCGATATCGATTCCGGCGAAGAACGATCGATACAAGTACGTTCTCGCGCTTTGCATCTCTCTCTTCTCGCTCTCTCGCTCTCTCTCTCTCTCTCTCTTTTTCTCTCTCATTCTCAAAATCTCTGTCTTTTAGGGCCGTCCTCTACGATGGCGACATGCTACTCTCACCTGGGCAGCTGCAAAAAATTGCCGACAATGCGATTGGTGGGCGGTAGGTCGTGTACTGGGGTTTTTACCGGGATTTTGCCTATCAGGAGTTTTGTATTCTGTGTCGGCATTTTGTCGTATCACCCCTTAAGATTATAGACAAAAACGCGAGGCGTACCTGGATGAATTCTACCCATCAACGATCTGGCAAGACGGGGTGCCTTACGAGTTGCATAGCTCGTTGTGTGAGTTAGAGTTTGCAAGTGGCACTGCTAGTTAGATTAATGGTTCCTAAATAATTGCTGCAAGCCAGCCCTCGAGAAATTCCTCAATACTCTTTGCTAGCCTGCCTGATCTCCTATTTAGCCCTCGTCGCCCGTCTCTCCGTGCTGCGCGCCATCCGATTCTGGGCCGCGCATACGTGCATCAAGTTCCGACCGCGCACCAAGGAAAGCTTCTTTTTGAGGGTTTGTTAAACTATTTTTCCGTAATCCAAGGATGTGGTGTAGTTTGTGGGCTACGAGAGCGGGTGCTGGTCAGCTGTGGGGAGAGATGACACGGAGCCCATACAGATTGTCAGCATTGGAAGGGGATGCGAGCATGTAAGGTTTAGTATGCGTGGGCGGCTTACTAGGGAAGTATCTGAACTTGCCATCGAACTTCGAGAACTCAGATACACCATTCGATGCGCCGTGACAAGAGGATTCCAAATATGTAATAAAATCAACGGGAGCGCATAACGGTAAAAAGTTATGAGCATTTTAAGTTTTACATTGAAATCCGCCACCGCGAGAAGAGCCCCGCCCAGCGCGCCCTGTCCATCGGTCTCGTGGCCTAGTGGTGTGCGCATGGGTCTCTGGTCTGTATGACCAGGGTTCGGATCCCCTCACGATTTTTTATTTTTTGCTTTTTGACCAGATCCTACTTATTGCATGTCCAAACTCGGGAATAAGTTTTTCTTGACTGTGTGGCCCCTAAAAAGCACCAGCGATGATAAAATAACCTCCGGCAACAAAACCAGAATTGGACGCTCTCTATCTCAAAGTTGGCAAAATCGTCGGAAACCGCCCTTTTAAAGCTCTGTGCGAATTCGAAGAATTTAATTTGTCAAAAATGGAACAGTACATCTTGATCAGCAGAAAATTCCCTTTCGAATGAGCTATCTTACCTGCGCTTTACGCCAAATTCTCGAAAAGTCTTCGGCTAGCTGGCCATGCCCTACCCTTACTCTGCATTCCAAAAATATTTTTTTGCGGAAATTTTTGGCAGCCGTATGTAATATAGTTCATTTGAAAGAGCTTTCTTTGTTGAACAAGGAGCACTAATCAGTTTCGACTAAATTCCATTCCGCGGGATAATACAGGGTCTAAAAGATGCTGTTTTTCGTCATTTTGCAGACTTTGAACCCTCATAACTTTTGACCGTTATGCGCTCCCGTTGATTTTATTACATATTTGGAATCCTCGCGTCACGGCGCGTCGAATGGTGTATCTGACTTTTCAAGGTTCGATGGCAAGTTCAGATACTTCCCTAGTTAGGCTTAGGCTTAGGCTTGACTCTAGGCTTGGCTTTAGACTGTGGCCTAGGCTTGGGCTCCGCCTTCGGCTGAGCTTAGGCTTGGGCTTGGGCTCAGGCTTAGGCTTAAGCTGAGGCTTCGGCTAAGGCTTAGATTTGGGCTTAGGGTTCTATATCTTCAGTTTGGTGTCACGAGCCACGAGCTGGCGCATGCCCTCGGCGTCTTCCACGAGCAGTCCCGGCACGATAGGGACAAATTTGTCACCCTGAATTCGAGAGCCGTCGACCGAGATATATTGTACAATTTTGCAAAGGTATCGAATTTTTATGGAGCTACAGATGAGGTTTAGATCGGGCCCCACGAGCTGGCCACGTACCAACTACCGTATGACGTCGGGAGTGTCATGCATTACGCGCCGACAGAGTGGGTTGTAAACGAGAGAGAGGGACAGAGAGAGAGAGAGAGAGCGAGAGAGAGAAACTCGAAACTCCTGAATTCGACCTCAAAATTCGGAAAAATTCGAGATGCTCCAAATTCTGATTTTCGAGACTTTGTGAACTAGCGTTTCTGAAAAGTCTCGCTGAATAAAAATACAAAATTCAAAACAGCGAGATTGCAATTTCCAAAACTGGGAAAATTAGAGGTTACGGAAAATTTCAGATCCTAACTTTTGCGATTGTCCCAGATTTTTAACTTTGGTATTTCTCTGTCTGTCTGTCTGTCTGTCTGTCTGTCTCTCTCTCTCTCTCTCTCTCTCTCTCTCTCTCTCCTTCTCTCCCTATCTTTCGCGTCAGATTCTCCAAAATCCGAAACGTCGCAGCGTTGAGCGCGGTCGACCCCTTCCTGCAACAATCGATGGGCTCCATGGACAAACCAACATTTTTGGATGTCCTGGCCTTGAATATTCATTATCGATGTACGGGTAAGTAAATTTGTGCCTAATTTAAAATATCGATTCTCAAGAACAATGCCCAAAACTCGCTTGCATGAATGGTGGCTACACTGATCCGAACAACTGTGCCCAGTGCAAGTAAGTCGAAAAATTCATACAAAAAGCTAATATTTAACCCGGTAAAATTACTGAAATTATCCTATTTAAGCACGGGAAATATTAGAATAAACCCATCTGAAAGAGTTTGTAAATGCATGCCTTTAGATGTCCCGATGGCTATGGTGGGCAGCTTTGCGATACGGTAGCCGCGTCATTTTCGCCAAATTGTGGGGGAGTCATTGAGGTATCGATTTCTTAGAGACGAGCTGCTTACGGCGGCTTCGACTGGATCCGACTGGACTTCCGGCTATTCCCTGCGCTCCCTCCCTCGCCGAAACGCGCGCGACCTGGCTCACTATGTCCAAAATCACCCAACCTCCGTCCCCCACCCCTTTTACTAAGGAAAAAACTTTCAAGGTTAATTTTAATAACTTAAACTAATACTTTTTCATAATTTTTTATCAGTTTGGTGGTTTCTGACCGCGCTCTATCCGATTCCGAAGAGAGCTAAGCTCTAGCTCCTTTCCCCTTCGAGTTTGAGTCCCGGACACGACGGGCGGACGGAGGCACACCACTACTTTTTTATTATAGTTGATAGTTGATTATTAGACGTATTTATACCGCAAAATCAATATACAAATTTAGGTGGCGGAAACGGTGAGAAAATTCGAGATCTCCATCGTTCAAACGGGGAACACGCTGAAGGATAAGATGTGCGTCTACCAGTTGAGGGTAAGATCGAACTTAGCGCTACTGCTATGAAAAGGACCAAAAAAATTGGAGTTGTTTTGCAGGGAGCGCGACGTCAAAAAACGGGCGGGGAAAGATGATTTTGAGGGGCAGTAAGCCGAAGCTGCGAATTTCAGGCCCCGGCCGGCAAGAAAATCCTGCTCAACCTCCTTCGAGTATCCGGGAAATGCATCGAGGGTTGTTACGTCGATGGGGTTGAGGCGAAGATGAGAAAGGACAAACGGCCGGTTGGATATAGGTAAAAATGGTCTCCACACCCTTTAAAAGGGGCTCACAAGGTCGTCTCACTCCCTTAAAACGAACAATACGTTGAAATTCGCGTAAACATGCCCTGTGATTCTTCCTAGGTTCTGCTGCTCCGAGTCACAGCTCAAAAGGCTCGTCTCTGACTCCAACGAGGTCCCATTAATGGTATATTCTCGGAATGGGCGTGTCCAGACTACATTCGAGTACACTTACGGTAAGTCGTCTCTCCCTCGCTCTCTTCCTCTCTCTCTCTCTCTACCCGGAAACCTTTAGTCGATGCAAATGCCGCTCACGACGCACCTGAATTGACCCCAAGCGATTGGGAGAGAGTGGATAACACGAGCTACAACGCGATTACGGTAGGCGATACGGTAGTTAAAAATATCTGTTTAATTTAGGAGCAAAAATCGGCTCGGCTTGGTCTATTCGCCACGATTTCGGAGCCGCGGAGGAAATGAAGCAAAGATCGAAATAACATAATTTATTTAGATGCTAATTAATAAATTATTGGTTTAGAGAGAGCGAGAAAGAGAGCTAGAGAGAGAGAGAGAGAGAGAGAGAGAGAGAGAGAGAGAAAGAGAGAGAGAGCGAGCGAGAGCGAGAGCAGAGACTCTTGCAGTGCAGAACTAGCTAGCTAAATTCCTTAACCAAAACTGAAGAATTATGGGTCAATTTCGTTCCGCTTCGTTCCATTTGACGTCAAATTTCATCCACTCTCACTTCAGATTCAAATATACCCAAAAAAAAGCCCAGGACTTGCCTCACTTCGAGATTAAAAGTCCGAGCCCGCCGATCGTTTTTTTTGTATACCATGGCATGTATCCGCTCTTCCTCTCTCCTGTAGAGGGGCACCGTTTAGAGCCGCCAAGCCCGGGGGCAGGGCTTCTTCTGGTTCAGAAGCCCCCCAGCCGATCCGCCGTGTAGATAGGCCACAGAAGGACACACCACGACGGCCAGCCGCTGAGAGATTTTCTGCCCAGATCCCATCCCGGACCTCCACACCCCCATTCCTGGCTAATTTTTGGCGTTTTTCCGGTTTTTCGGCAAGCGCAAAATTTTCACTATCATTTTTGGAGGTTGAATTCAGTGTCTGAGCTCTTTCCTCGTCTAAGCGAGCGAAGGGACTCCACCCATAATACCGATAGGCCAAAATGCCGCCAGCCAATATCCCGAGAATCCGAATGCCGATGCCAAAATACCGACGCCAACAATAACCAACTCCCGGAATATTCACTACGGCAACTCGGATGCCACTTCCTTTTAACAACCGCTTTGGACGTCGGGATCTTAGCTGTCGGCATTTTGGCTGTCGGTGTTTGCGATGCCGGGATTTTCATTGTCGAGACTTTTTTAGCTGTCTGGATTTTGTCTCTCTGAAATTTGATGTCGGGATTATGGGTGTTGGGATTTTGATCTCGGTTTTTGTTGTCGGGAGTTTCAATGTCGGGATCTTAGCTGTCGGCATCTTGGCTGTCGGGATTTTGCTTGTTGGGATTTTGCTAGCAAAATTAGGACTGTCCGAATCTTCGCTGTCGGCATTTTGGCTATCGGTATTTCGTTGTCGGGAATTTCTCTGTCGGTTTTTGGAGTTATTTTAAAAAACTTTGAAAGTTTTCCCGATGCGATCAGACATTTCTTAACCAGCTAGTAATTTACGTAAATTCTTTTTTTCTCTTGAATGTGGACCAAAAGTTCAGCGTGTTTTGAACCCCGGTGACCTCGCTGGTTCTTTTCAAATGGCCAGAATTCAGTCGCTAAGCTTCCCCCATTTTTGTCCACTCGCACTCGACTCGCACTCTGGACCCTGTAATTTTGTTCTCGGCACCATTTTTTCGGGGGTCGAGCGGCTGGCAGACGAGAATAGACTGAAGGGGTGGGTTTCACTTTAGCCGGGCTGTCAAGGTTAGATTACTCATGGCATGGATTTTTGCATGAAATTCGCGCATTAATATGCCATAGAGAAAGACGGAGACTGAGGGCGAGAGAGAGAGCGAGAGAGAGAGAGAGAGAGCGAGAGAGAGAGAGAGAGAGAGAGAGAGAGACAAAGAGAGAGAGCTACAACGAGCCGAAAAATTTCGATGTCTTTTTGTCTCGTATGGTATGACACTCTCTCGCTCTCTCTCTATCTCTCTCTCTCTCTCTCTCTCTCTTTCTCCCCGTCTCTCGGCCGAACTTCCGGTCCCTTTAATACCATCCCCAACTCTAAATTCCCCAGAATCCTCGTGTTGTTTGGTGTATATCGTTGTGTAGCGCGTGCGGCGGGTAGTGGATGCGGGGCCATGGACGACAGGCGGAAATCGGACACAAGGCTTGCCAAATAGGAGACGCCCGAATCCCGCCCGGGGGCCATTATTCGAAATGGACTCCCCCCTGGGCGGCGCAACCGGGTGGTGTGGGCCACCTGCACAAATACACCTCTTCTTTTCTAGGCACGGACCCAAGGCGGGCGGGACTGTATACAGACATATTGCCTGCGGATCTGATGAATAATATTAGCGATGCGTGGCCGGGGTTTGGGCGATTTTTTGGAGCGTGTAAAAACGGATGGCAACGTCAAAAATGGCTCTATCGTTCACTTTTCCGCATTTTGTCTAGTTAAGTTTATTCCGGTGAATGAGGTTTTCGAATGCTAATAGGGAATTTCAGTGATAATCCCGACATTCAAAATCCCGACAGCCAAAATGTGAAATTTCCGGTCGTTTTACCCATAAATGGTTTTAAAACTCGGGGTTTCTGGCTCTCGGGATTTTGGTCGTCAGAATTTTGGATGTCGGGATTTTGGCTGTCGGGGTTTTGAAGGTCGGGATTTTCACGTTTACCCGCTAAAAAATGAACCACAGAATTTTTTGGTTATTCCGAACCAGTGGAAAAAGCCCGCTTCGCGGCCCTTTTCCACTGGACCTCGTCCATGAACGATGAATTCGAATACCTTCTTTTTTTTAGCCTGCGGCGCAAGAACCTGAGTCAAAGACCTTTTCTTTAGCCTGCGGCGCTAGAGCGAGAGCCAGGCCTAAACCTCGCGCTAGAATCTTGTTGCCTGCAGCGCTAGTTACTGGTTTTTCTCCGGGATTCGGCCTGCGGCGCAAAAACCTGAGTCAAGGAGCCATTCTTTGGCCTACGGCGCGAGAGCCTGGACCCAGGGCCTTTCCATGGGTCTGCGGCGCTAGAGCGAGGGACTTCGCATAGAGAGAGCCTAGAAACATGTTTTGTTGTTGAACTACTAAAAAGCAAAAAGCTAATTTCCCCAGGATCCGAACTCAAGACCTCATGCGTGGTAGACCGGGAGCCAACCCACTGCACCATGGGACACATGGGAACAGGCGGGGGGGGAAAGCCCTCTTCCGTCCTGGGGAAAGCCGGGCCGGGAAGGCAAAGAAAAGGGCGACCCAATGATCCCGGTGGGAGGCCTACTGGTTACTTTACAAAATTCGGTTTTCGAGTCTAGAACAGCCGAAAATTTTCAAAGATAATAAGATGCGCGTGATCCCCACCATCGAATACATAAGTTATCCAAATTTCAGCCCGAAATTCCATTAGGGCTTCGAGTTATGCCCCGGACACCACGACCCCTGGCCCATTTTGTTAAAGAGTTTTCAGAAAAATACTCATAAAAATTTTATTTTACAAAACCTGACAAAACGCAGAATTATATATCGGCAGAATTCAATTTTCAATTTACCCTCCAAAAATTAGTGCCTAATTCCGTTTGGAACGCGAGATATCCTCTGAACAAACCTTTTATCGGCCAAAATGTTAAGGATTTTTCACTATTTTGCTTGTAAAACCGTTAAATGAAGGAATTTCGAAAAACAAAAAATTGCTTCACTGACAAATGTGTTTCTCCACCTCCCTGCCAAAAATCAGCTGGAAACTCGGCCTGCCGGCCGAGAAATCGGCTGTACAGATAACAAACATACTTTTCCCGCTTATAGGATAGGAT